GTTACTGAGGGACACAGAATTGTTACTGAGGGACACAGAATTGTTACTGTGGGACACAGAATTGTTACTCAGGGACAGACACAGAATTGTTACTCAGGGACAGACACAGAATTGTTACTGAGGGACACAGAATTGTTACTGAGGGACACAGAATTGTTACTCAGGGACACAGAATTGTTACTCAGGGACAGACACAGAATTGTTACTGAGGGGACAGACACAGAATTGTTACTGAGGGACACAGAATTGTTACTGAGGGACACAGAGAATTGTTACTCAGTGCGACAGACACAGAATTGTTACTCAGGGACAGACACAGAATTGTTACTGAGGGACACAGAATTGTTACTGAGGGACACAGAATTGTTACTCAGGGACAGACACAGAATTGTTACTGTGGGACACAGAATTGTTACTGAGGGACACAGAATTGTTACTGAGGGACACAGAATTGTTACTGAGGGGACACAGAAATTGTTACTCAGGGACAGACACAGAATTGTTACTCAGGGACAGACACAGAATTGTTACTGAGGGACACAGAATTGTTACTGAGGGACACAGAATTGTTACTCAGCGACAGACACAGAATTGTTACTCAGGGACAGACACAGAATTGTTACTGAGGGACACAGAATTGTTACTGAGGGACACAGAATTGTTACTCAGCGACAGACACAGAATTGTTACTCAGGGACAGACACAGAATTGTTACTGAGGGACACAGAATTGTTACTGAGGGACACAGAATTGTTACTGAGGGACACAGAATTGTTACTCAGGGACACAGAATTGTTACTCAGGGACAGACACAGAATTGTTACTCAGGGACACAGAATCGTTTACTTAAAGAGTATGTCAGACAACATGCAGAGGAGTGGCAGAGGAGGCAATGTTTTAGGAGCGAGCAGACGTGGCAGCAGAGGAAGGGGTCGGGCACTAGTCGCAGCCAGAGGCCAGTGCTCCCGGTGTCATCCAGCGGTCGTGTCTCCACCGACAACCCTGCCGTCATCGATTGGTTGGCTCGGTCGTCTTCCTCTTCCCAGGTCACCTCTGACACCTACAGCCAACGGTCGGTGGGTACGTCAGACACAACCGTTAGTTGGCATGGCCCGGGAGCAAGCCCACTGAAATCACGTGTCCTCTACCTGCCCCTGTCCTTTGGTGTTCCCTCACCAAGCGAAGTATCGCATGCTGTGGGCTCAGCCCCACTGTACAGTGAGGAAGAGCTAACAGAGGGCGGTCAGGAACGGGGGGAGACATCCGCCTCTTCAGCAGCCAGGCGAAGAAGTAGTGGCGAGGAGAGTGGCTCGGTAGCCGGTCTAGAGACAGGTCTGTCTCCTGACCCACACGCAGCCGAGGGGGCTAGTAGTGAGGCGGAGACCCTAATTGATGATGATGAGGCTGATCGCACTTGGCAGCCTCGTCGTCATCAGGCTATTGCTTCCGCATCATCAGGAGAAGAGGGTGGCAGCTTGGCAGCGAGCAAAACAGTCGGTGGGTTGCCCAGGAGGCAGCAGGGTCGCAGCAGTGTCAGTGGAGGCAAACGGCCACGGAGTACAGCACCAGCTCCACTGCAGCCTACCACCACGGCCAGTAGTGGTGCCGGTGTGCACGGAGGAAGCAGCAGTCAGCCAGTGAGGAGTATCGGGGGCAAAGTTTCCCTACTCGGCGGTGTGGCAATTTTTTGTCAAGCCGCCCGAGGAAGTAAACGTAGCCGTATGTCGACTATGTGGCCAGAAAGTCAAGCGTGGCCAGGGGGCCCATGTTGGGACTACAGCGTTGCGTCAGCATATGCAGCGTCGCCATTTGGTGGCCTGGGAAAACCGTGATAAAGATACGGCGGTTCTGCCTGCCCCAGCCCCCGCTCCATCACCCGCTCCGTTACTTGCTCCGTCACCCGACGTCAATCGCCCTCTATCAGCCAGTCAAGGCTCCAACACCTCTGCTGAGGGGAGTTGTCGCTCGTTGGCATCTTCCGCTCGTTCTGATGCTCCTTCTCCTGCTACTCCTCTTCACGGATTCCGTCAGCAGTCTTTCTTGGAATCCGTTTCCAAGAGACAACAGTTTGCGAGCACGCACCCGACGGTGCAAAAGCTGAACGTCCTCCTGTCCAAGTTGCTGGTGCTGCAGTCCCTCTCCCTTTCCAAGTGGTGGACTCAGCACCTTTCCGAGAAATGATGGCTTGTGCCGCGCCGCGGTGGAGAGTGCCAAGCCGTCATTTCTTCGCCAAAAAGGCAGTGCCAGCCCTGCATTCACATGTAGAAGAGATGGTGGGCCAGTCTTTGAGCATGTCGGTCTCTCTGCCAAAGTGCACGGCAGCGCCGACGTGTGGAGCTGTAACTACGGTCAGGGACAGTACATGTCATTTACGGCCCACTGGGTGAACGTGGTGCCGTCACAGCCGCACCAGCAACTTGGACAGGTCACGCCGCTTTTGCCTCCACGTTTGCACGTCCTTGGTCCGGCAAAGATGTCCGCCTCTACCACCTCTTCTTCCGCCGTGTCCTCAGCCGCCACCCCCCGTGCCAAGTCCCATTACCCGACCGGCATATCACATGTGCAGGGCGCAACGGTGTCACGCTGTGCTGCACCTGGTATGCCTTGGCGAACGTAGTCACACAGGGGAGGAACTTCTCAGTGTAATGAACAGAGAAATCGACAGATGGCTGTCTCCCGCGCAAACTGAAAATCGGAACCATGTTGACCGACAACGGAAAGAACATGGTGTCTGCTCTGCGTCAAGGAAGGTTGTGCCATGCGCCATGCATGGCTCACGTGTTCAATCTGGTTGTCAAGCGGTTCCTAAAATCCACCATCCCACTGCAAGACATCCTTAAAATGTCACGTAAACTTTGCATGCATTTCAGCCATTCCTACACCGCAAAGCACACCCTCCTTGAGCTGCAGCGGCAGAACGGAACGGAATTCCACAGCATCGCCTGATCTGCGACGTTGCAACAAGGTGGAATTCAACCCTACACATGTTAGACCGCCTTTACGAACAGCGAAAGGCCATCACCGATTTCCTGATGTTACAAGCGGATAAAGGTACTCCCCTGTGTAACTTCGATGTCAGCCATTGGCAGCTCATGCGTGACACCTGCCGCTTGCTCAGGCCCCTTTGAGGAGGCCACGCTATTCGTGAGTCGGCAGGACTATGGGATGAACGACGTCATTCCTCTGTTGCACGTCCTGGAACAAATGCTGTTAACAATGGCTGGTCAGGGTGCGGTAGACGTGGCGCACAGATCTCAACGCCACATGACCCCTGTGGGGGCAGGACAGGAAGAAGAGGAGGAGGTAGAGGAGGACATTTTGTGCTCAGGAATTATTGAGTGAAATGGGTGGTTTTTCCACTCAGCGGACAGGAGTGGAGGAGCAGGGAGCATCTGGTAGAGGAGGAGGAGGAGGAGACAGAGGACCCAGACGCACCGTGGCAGTATGCTGTGGAGATGGAGGCAGGGAGTCCCTCGCATTCCTTGGCACAAATGGCCCATAGCATGCTCGGTTGCTTGCGTAGCGACAGCCGAATAATAACCATCAGACAGAGGGATGACTTTTGGCTGTCCACCTTGTTGGACCCTCGCTACCGTTCAAAAATGGTGGCCTTTTTCACACCTGCTGAGAGGGAGGCCAAAATAACGTACTATAAAAACCACCTATGTAGTCAGTTGGTCTCTGCCTTTGTGCGCCAACGTCCATCCTCAGACACTGTGGGCCCTGTGCGCTCGCGTTCCGCTGCCATGGCAGCAGGGGAGGGGTGGGGGGGTGGTAGGAGCAGTGGCAGCTCCACCAGCAGCGGCTGCCTCAGTCTGCAGTCGATGATGAGTAGCTTTCTTCACCAGCGCAGTGAGGAAACTACTAACCAGCCGCAGCAGCAGCAGCATCAGGTGGACCTGGAGCAGGACCTCAAACAACAGGCTTGGGCCTACTTGGACAGCACCCTGCCAACCGAGGTAGACAATCCCCTTGACTACTGGGCAACGAAACTTGACCTTTGGCCCCAACTAGCTGAATTTGCCCTTGAAAGGCTGTCATGCCCGGCCAGTAGCGTGGCATCGGAGCGCGTGTTTAGTGCGGCAGGAGGTATTGTAACTCCGCGGAGGACACGACTGTCCACCCAAAGTGTGGAGAGACTCACGTTTGTGAAAATGAATCAGGCGTGGATTAGTAGTCTGGATTTCAAACCACCAGTTCCTGACACAACTGACTAAATCCGCCATGAATCATGCCCCAAACATGTGCCACTTTCAGGTCTCCTCACACTGCTGGTGTGTTCCATTTTTTTCATAGGGTGCTGGCAGATTACGGGCCTCCCATAGCTGCTGCCAGGCCCCTAATCTGCCATGGGCCCCTATACCGCCTCCTCATGCTGCTGCCAGGTCCAGAGTCTCTCATGGGTCCCTGTACGGCCTCCCATTGCTGCTGTCTCCATCGCCACACACTCTGCCATGTGCCACTTTCAGGTCTCCTCACACACTGCTGGTGTGTTCCATTTTTTGTCATAGGGTGCTGGCAGATTACGGGCCTCCCATAGCTGCTGCCAGGCCCCTAATCTGCCATGGGCCCCTGTACCGCCTCCTCATGCTGCTGGTCCAGAGTCTCTCATGGTCCCTGTACGGCCTCATTGTGTCTCCATGCCATGTGCCATGTGCCACTTTCAGGTCTCCTCACACTGCTGGTGTGTTCCATTTTTTGTCATAGGGTGCTGGCAGATTACGGGCCTCCCATAGCTGCTGCCAGGCCCCTAAATCTGCCATGGGCCCCTATACCCGCCTCCTCATGCTGCTGCCAGGTCCAGAGTCTCTCATGGGTCCCTGTACGGCCTCCCATTGCTGCTGTCTCCATCGCCACACTCTGCCATGTGCCACTTTCAGGTCTCCTCACACACTGCTGGTGTGTTCCATTTTTTTGTCATAGGGTGCTGGCAGATTACGGGCCTCCCATAGCTGCTGCCAGGCCCCTAATCTGCCATGGGCCCCTGTACCACCGCCTCCTCATGCTGCTGCCAGGTCCAGAGTCTCTCATGGGTCCCTGTACGGCCTCCCATTGCTGCTGTCTCCATCGCCACACTCTGCCATGTGCCACTTTCAGGTCTCCTCACACACTGCTGGTGTGTTCCATTTTTTTCATAGGGTGCTGGCAGATTACGGGCCTCCCATAGCTGCTGCCAGGCCCCTAATCTGCCATGGGCCCCTATACCCGCCTCCTCATGCTGCTGCCAGGTCCAGAGTCTCTCATGGGTCCCTGTACGGCCTCCCATTGCTGCTGTCTCCATCGCCACACTCTGCCATGTGCCACTTTCAGGTCTCCCTCACACTGCTGGTGTGTGTTCCATTTTTTGTCATAGGGTGCTGGCAGATTACGGGCCTCCCATAGCTGCTGCCAGGCCCCTAATCTGCCATGGGCCCCTATACCGCCTCCTCATGCTGCTGCTGCCAGGTCCAGAGTCTCTCATGGGTCCCTGTACGGCCTCCCATTGCTGCTGTCTCCATCGCCACACTCTGCCATGTGCCACTTTCAGGTCTCCTCACACTGCTGGTGTTTCCATTTTTTGTCATAGGGTGCTGGCAGATTACGGGCCTCCCATAGCTGCTGCCAGGCCCCTAATCTGCCATGGGCCCCTGTACCGCCTCCTCATGCTGCTCAGGTCCCAGCTGCATGGGTCCCTGTACGGCCTCCATTGCAGTGTCTCACACTGCCATGTGCCACTTTCAGGTCTCCTCACACTGCTGGTGTGTTCCATTTTTTTGTCATAGGGTGCTGGCAGATTACGGGCCTCCCATAGCTGCTGCCAGGCCCCTAATCTGCCATGGGCCCCTATACCGCCTCCTCATGCTGCTGCCAGGTCCAGAGTCTCTCATGGTCCCTGTACGGCCTCCCATTGCTGCTGTCTCCATCGCCACACTCTGCCATGTGCCACTTTCAGGTCTCCTCACACTGCTGGTGTGTTCCATTTTTTTGTCATAGGGTGCTGGCAGATTACGGGCCTCCCATAGCTGCTGCCAGGCCCCTAATCTGCCATGGGCCCCTGTACCGCCTCTTCATGCTGCTGCCAGGTCCAGAGTGTGTCATGGGTCCCTGTACGGCCTCCCATTGCTGCTGCCAGGAGGCAGCAGGGTCGCAGCAGTGTCAGTGGAGGCAAACGGCCACGGAGTAGAGCACCAGCTCCACTGCAGCCTACCACCACGGCCAGTAGTGGTGCCGTGTGCACGGAGGAAGTAGCAGTCAGCCAGTGAGGAGTAGCGGGGGCAAAGTTTCCTACTCGGCGGTGTGGCAATTTTTCGTCAAGCCGCCCGAGGAAGTAAACGTAGCCGTATGTCGACTATGTGTGGCCAGAAAGTCAAGCGTGGCCAGGGGGCCCATGTTGGGACTACAGCGTTGCGTCAGCATATGCAGCATGTCGCCATTCGGTGGCCTGGGAAAACCGTGATAAAGATACGGCGGTTCTGCCTGCCCCAGCCCAGGGTTCCATTTTGTCATAGGGTGCTGGCAGATTACGGGCCTCCCATTGCTGCTGCCAGGCCTTAATCTGCCATGGGCCCCTGTACCGCCTCCTCATGCTGCTGCCAGGTCCACAGTGTCTCATGGGTCCCTGAACCGCCTCCCATTGCTGCTGTCTCCATCGCCACACTCTGCCATGTGCCACTTTCAGGTCTCCTCACACTGCTGGTGTGTTACATTTTTTGTCATAGGGTGCTGGCAGATTACGGGCCTCCCATTGCTGCTGCCAGGCCCGTAATCTGCCATGGGCCCCAGTACCGCCTCCTCATGCTGCTGCCAGGTCCACAGTCTCTCATGGGTCCTGTACGGCCTCCCATTGCTGCTGTCTCCATCGCCACACTCTGCCATGTGCCACTTTCAGGTCTCCTCACACTGCTGGTGTGTTCCATTTTTTGTCATAGGGTGCTGGCAGATTACGGGCCTCCCATAGCTGCTGCCAGGCCCCTAATCTGCCATGGGCCCCTGTACCGCCTCCTCATGCTGCTGCCAGGTCCAGAGTCTCTCATGGGTCCCTGTACGGCCCCCTCCCATTGCTGCTGTCTCCATCGCCACACTCTGCCATGTGCCACTTTCAGGTCTCCTCACACACTGCTGGTGTGTTCCATTTTTTGTCATAGGGTGCTGGCAGATTACGGGCCTCCATTGCTGCTGCCAGGCCCCTAATCTGCCATGGGGCCCCAGTACCGCCTCCTCATGCTGCTGCCAGGTCCACAGTCTCTCATGGGTCCCTGTACGGCCTCCCATTGCTGCTGTCTCCATCGCCACACTCTGCCATGTGCCACTTTCAGGTCTCCTCACACACACTGCTGGTGTGTTTCCATTTTTTGTCATAGGGTGCTGGCAGATTACGGGCCTCCCATTGCTGCTGCCAGGCCCGTAATCTGCCATGGGCCCCCGTACCGACTCCTCATGCTGCTGCCAGGCCCGTAATCTGTCATGGGCCCCTGTTGTCGCTTGTTGGCATATTCCGCTCGTTCAGATGCTCCTTCTCCTGCTACTCTCCTCTTCACTGATTCCGTCAGCAGTCTTTCTTGGAATCCATTTCCAAGAGACAACAGTTTGCGAGCACGCACGCACCCGACGGTGCAAAAGCTGAACGTCCCTCCCTCCTCATGTCCAAGTTGCTGCTGCCAGGCTCGTAATCTGTCATGCGCCCCTGTACCGCCTACCCTCCTCCTCATGCTGCTGCCAGGTCCAGAGTGTGTCATGGGGCCCCCGTACCGACTCCTCATGCTGCTGCCAGGCCCGTAATCTCATGTCCATGGCCCCCTGTACCTATACCGCCTCCTCATGCTGCTGCCAGGTCCAGAGTGTGTCATGGGTCCCTGTACGGCCTCCCATTGCTGCTGCCAGGCCCGTAATCTGCCATGGGCCCCCGTACCGACTCCTCATGCTGCTGCCAGGGCCCGTAATCTGTCATGGGCCCCTGTACCGCCTCCTCATGCTGCTGCCAGGTCCAGAGTGTGTCATGGGTCCCTGTACGGCCTCCCATTGCTGCTGTCTCCATCGCCACACTCTGCCATGTGCCACTTTCAGGTCTCCTCACACTGCTGGTGGTTTCCATTTTTGTCATAGGGTGCTGTATGGCCTCCCATTGCTGCTGCCTCCACCGCCACACTGTGGCTCCACACTCTGGTTTTGGCCCCGTGAATGCCCAAATGAGTGAAGTGTGCGGTGATTCTAAGATCGACGGCACTCATCTGCATGTCATACTGACTGTCAGTATTATTTCTCTTCCCCAGCAGACTCCAAGGGCATTTAAATTAAAGGTACAGTGTTCTGCACTAATATAAAGGCTCTCTGAAGCCTAGAAACACCCTTTTATAAGTTAAATTCGCGGCGAATATATTCGACTCAAATCAAAATTTTTTCACGAATTCGTCGAATCAGTCGAATCGAATTTTTGAATAATTTGCTCATCTCTAGTAAACATGTTGTGGTGAAAAATAAAATTATTAATAAGCTGCCTCCCTGTAAGTGAACAATAATGAAATTGCCCTCATGTAGTGAAATGACGTCAGCTTGACGAAACGTGCATAGAGGCGCAACTTCCGGTCACGTGACTTTCTGTCCCGAACATCCAGTAATAGGAATGCACACCGCCACCAAGGATGGCATGGAACGGTGGCATTTCCATTTTTTTTTTAAAGAAATATTTGTTGGATTTTCATCAATGCAAAACTGAAAAGAATAGGCAAGCAGCATATACAATTACATAGATTATAGAAAAAAATACAAATTATATAAAATGTCTTGCTCGAAGGAGCATGAGCCAAGCTATACATAATATATCTGTGAATTTAGGCATATGGTGACCCTTGGCATCTTAAAAGGAGACTGACGTGATATATAAAACATCAATGACGAAGTAATATGTTAATAAACTGGAGAGAGTTAACTTCTAGCAAATAATATTGTGTACTATATGGGGGTTAAACGCGGGTGGAAGGTAAGGAAGGGAGAAGAAAGTAGGGAGAAGTAGAAGGATAAAGATTGGTGAAAAGGGGAGAAGAAAGGAGAGAGGAGTATTAGGAATGGTGTAGGGGAAAGGGAAGGGATAAGAAAAGAAATGGAGGAGGGAAAGAAGAGAAGGGTGAGGAGACCAGAACCTATGAGAGCCATTACATTAGGTTAATTTGGAAAGACTGTAAACAAATAACCCGAGGAGGTGATAACACCATGTGCCGTGGCAGCCGTAAAGGACCATGATGTCATCCGGGGGCCAAACTTACGCGTAATCAGGGGAGAGGGCTGAGGGACAGCTTATTGCCATCAAAAAAGTAGGCCTCTTTGCAACAAGTTTATGGCTTGAGGATAGTGGATTAAGACCATGCCAAGAGCTTGGATTGCTCGGAAGATGGAAATGTTCTGGTGATGTACTGGTGTCATTTACAGCAGTAGGATACCGTGGATCAAGAGCTGCAAAGATCTAGGTCTAGTTTCTCTTTGCACAGAAGACTGTTTAGATCTTGTTTTATGTCAATTATGGTAGGTGGAATTGTTGAAGTCCATTTCTTTAAGATGGCTCTCCTAGCCATCATAAAGCAGTTAGTCAACCACGGCTTATTTCTTTGGGAGAGCATAGAGTGCAAACTTGAAGGCTTAGTAGCGATATGTTCTTGATTTCCAAAGATGAGGTTAAGAGGGTTCCTGGAAGGCTGGAGACCAATGATTGATTCTATAAAATTTTCCACTTGATCCTAGAAAGTGGAGATACTTGGGCACAACCAGAGCCTATGCAGAAGGAATGGCTTTTGGTGGTTGCAAAGTGGACAACGCTGGAAATTTAGTGACGACTTTGAAAAGCTACAAGGCATTTATTTAAGCATGATGCATTATCTTGAATTGTTGTTCATGCCAGAATGCATTCGATATAAAGGTGCAGGTGGTGTTTAAGCCTGTTAGTATTTGGTCCACCGTTATCATATTTTGAAAATCTTTAATCCAGGAGGCTATCGATGAGGATTCCAGAGGCTCGCAGAAATGTAGATTGGGTGGTTCGATACTTGAACTGCCGACATAACAGAAGCGTGTCAAGTGAAGTGTGGAATCTTTTGGATTTATCCAGAGTAAGGTTTTTGGGCATTTCCATTTTGAGATAAAACATTGGGGTTTTTTTGTGTCTTAATGGGCACTTTTAAATGTGAGCAGTTCTTTATATGATTGGTATCATGAATTTTAAATAAATGTACTACACTATATTATTTTTTTTTTCCTGGTTTCTTTGTTGGAGTGGAGGAGATCTAACCGCATACAGCCATCCTTGTGAAATCTGTGGAGGATACAAAGTGCATGGTGACCTTCTTTTTAACTACAGGGGTCATTTTGGTCTGGTGAGTGATTCATTCTCATGTGCATATTTTGGTGGAAAATTTATTTTTTGGTGGAGGTGGAAGACAAGAGGAACACTGAGATATATGTGTTGATATATACATGGACACAATGAATTAAATATTATTTTGAATCACTAAATGTATTTGTTATTTTTCAACTAATGAATTGATGTGATTATATATTTATTTATATGTGTGTAGTTATATGAATGTTTTTTGAGTAAGATGAGTATTTGTGGAGTATAAAACCCCCTATTTGGATCTAATCATTGCTGACACAGTTGTGGATTATTTTATCAACATGGCATTGGCATATGATGATATATCACCATAAACTAGAATTTGATGCATGGGTAAAGCTTACCCTCTTTATGACCAGTGCATTTTTTGCTATTCAGCACTGTGCTACTTTAACTGGCAACAGCATACCCAAAATAAATTTTTTTTCACACAAATAGACATTTCTATTGGTGGTATTTGATCACCACTAAGTTTTTTTTATTTTTTATTATATAAAATGAAAAAATTAAAATTTTGAAAAAAAAGTATTTTTTACTTTCTGCTCTAGAACATATCCAATAAGAAAAATTTTAAAAATCACATTTCTTCATATATTAAAACCACAATGTATCCTTATACGTGTCTTCGGTAAAAAAAAATCCCAATAAGTATATATTGATTAGTTTGCATGAAAGATAAAGAGTCCACAAACTATGGTATATATGCTGGATTTAAAAAAAAATAATACTAATGGTGGTGAGCAGTGACTTACAGTGGGACTATGATAGTGTGGTGGGGAATCTGGCACTAACTGGGGTGGGAACTGAATAACTGACACTGACATCTCCAATGTCACTAATACAGTGATTAGTGATAATACTATACACTGTCACTGTACGAATGACACTTGCTGGGAAGGGGTTAACATCTAGGGGCAATCAAAGGGTTATCTGTGTGCCTAACGATGTCTAATGTGTGTAAAGTGTGCTACTTTTACTAATAGATGTGACTGCTCCATGTACTGTCATTTTCTCAGCTGATCAGCAGGTCCCGGCCATAAATCATTGGCCCAGAACCTGCTAACCGATTTGTGCTGTAGACAATGACAGCACAGATGGGATGACAGGTGTGCGCGTTCCCCCTACCTGGAAATGCTGATCAAGTACATATGTGTGATCCACAGCAGCAGGGCAACCCTGACACTTTATAAAGACAATGAGTTGCAACTGGTTAATAAATTACTTTTAACCTTGGATTTGGAATGGAGACTGTCTATTCTTGTATGTAACTGCGCTGAGTGCTAAAAAAATCCAAACAAATTGTGAATCAAAAAACAGACAATGAAACAATAGCTGCACTAAAAAAATACCAATACAAATACTCAATACATGATATCCAGTTATTGTTGTGCTATTGATAAAAATATTCTAATAGTGCGTCACTTATGCTTTAAATGTGCTCCTACCAATAATATTATTAGGTCAAAATGCATGAAACACCAAACAATGAAAAAGTCTTTTGATGACAAAATCCTGATTGTGATGAACAGCCGTGTCCACAATGATTCTTACAATGAAGTATTGTAAGTGGCTTTTTATCTATTTTAACCACTTCCCGTCCAACCCATGTCTATAAACAGCCGGATGGAAGCACTGCTGAAGCAGGTTGACGTTTCTAAACGTTACCTGCATTCACTACCTGTGCGCACTCCCTGGGAGAACGTGGCACCATGTTCCGGTGCCCGCTGTGTCCTCCAGTCGCTGTATGGGACCTCTGTGTAAGGTCCCGATTCATGTGATCACTGATTGGCCAATCAGGGATCACATAAATAGTAGTAAGCAAGATGTCACTTCTGACATCATTGCTTACTACTAGTGAAATCTGTGAATGATCACAGAGGTCACATGGTACAAGGCTATTCACAACAGCCTTGTACCATGTGATAAGCTGTGAACAATCACAGCTCACACAGTATTTCTCAATGGCTGCAAGAATGCAGCCAGACAGAAATAGAAATGATTGCTTTTACAGTCTTTATGGGTGTAAAAGCAATCAGTGTAAAAAAAGAAAACAAAAACACCCCCCACAAGTAGAACGGTGTCACTATGCTGACACTGTACTACTAGGGTGACAGTATGTTAAAAAAAAAAAAAAATAATAATAATAATATAAACAAAATAAAATAAAAATTAAAAAAAAAAATTTAGAAAAATTATAATTTTTGGTTATAAACTAATTTGTTTTTTTTTTGTACTAAAAAATAGCTGAATACATTTTGGCCAAGATTTATGAAGAAAGATTATTTATTTGCAAAATTTTATAAGAAAAACACTTTTTAAAAAAATATTTTTGGGGATTTTTAATTTATATAGCAAAAAAATAAAAATCCCAGTGGTGAAAAAATACCACCAAAATAAAGTTTTATCTGTCTCAAAACAATGCTAAAAATTCATATGGGTACAGTGTTGAATGACCGCGCAATTGTCATTCAAAGTGTGATAGCACACACACTTTGGAGTATTATTCTTTTTGACCGAGCACACAGCGGATCATAATAAGGGAGGAAGAGAGGAGGAGAGATACCGAAGTCTGCAACACTTCTTTTCCATCTAGGATGTTACAAGCAAGAAATGTTCAGCATCATGCTCTGTTAGACCACCTATAATGTGAGGTCTAACTATTCATTAAGGAGCAGTGTGTTGTTTGTGGTGGTGGGCATGCGAGTCTCTATTTCGCTACACATGTGGAGGATCATTGTGGACGCGGCTGTTCATCATAATCAGGATTTTGTCATCAAAAGATTTTTCCATTGCTTGGTGTTTCATGCATTTTGACTTAATAATATTATTGGTAGGAGCACATTTAAAGTACAAGTGATGCACTATTAGGCCCCATGTACACGGGGCACTTCTGAACGATGGAAACTGACTGCTGGAAAACGTAGGTTAAAAAAAAGTCTG